ACCTTCTATATTAACAATAACTACCAATTATTTTTTTGTTTGTTCTTTTTTTGGCTTTAAGACTTGTAGAAGCAAGTCCTATTTTGCCTATCAATTATAATCACCTCTATACGTAAAAATTAAAACTGTTTCTTTTGCAATTTATCTTACCATCTTCACCGCCCACTACTGTCTTTAAAACGAACATCTTCTCCGTTTGTAATTCTGCATCAAATCTGATGATAGAGTCATAATTTTGAAGATCTTCTCCTTCAAGGTGGGAAAAATAGTCACATCACCCCGAAATTACAGGAAAAAAGTTATGAAGGAAACGGAACTTTTTTGAGAATAATTCAGGAAGTATACATATCATTACACCCATAGCCATTTGAAAGATTACTATATCCTTCACAAAACAAAACAAAAATCATCGACATCATACCACAACTTTTAAAGGTACTGCTTATTATAATTTGTAAACACTGATGTAGTGTAATAGGCAAATTTTAATTTTGGTTTAAAGCACGAATATTTTTTTCATTTTATTATTTATTCATGATATTTACAACTGTATAAAAAATATATCTAATAAATTAGACTATTTACTCATATTTATAAAACTCATTAGAATATTTACTAATCCCTTATAGAACTCGCCCTAGATCTATTTTATTGGTACAGAAGATCCTTGATTTGTAGTTCACTCACTGACTAAAAGTATTCAAGTTAGTATAAGATTATTGAAAATATCAAAAGGGAATATCGTAGGGATATTCTCATCCATTTACTTCTTCAATAGATGTTTAGTTCGTCGAAGACTATCATAAATGGCAATTTTTTAATTTTTAAAACCTAAAGAGGTAAGTATCCCATGACATCCATGGGCTATTCGACATGAATTGCGGTTGGTCTCGAAAACGGTACATTTAGGGCCATTTTTAAAACGCAGGGATGTTGTCTTGATGCCCGCGTTAAAAAAAAGGATCTCTACTACTGTCTTACAGGAATGCCCATCCTCCCCAAGCTTGATGACACATGGACCTCTTCCCTCCTCCTCACAAGATATTTTATTGCCCTCTTCTTCTTAAAAATAGCGCAAGCTAAAGTAGAATTTTAAAAAGCATTAGTCATATACAATTACACTTTCAGTGGTCTGCTCTATGCTTTCCTCAACTCCCCTGGTTTGAAACTTTTTATTCTAAAAATTCATAACTCTATCGAAAGCCCCCTCAAAAATTCACGTCAAAAATGTTCATCTTGCGCCATAAAACCCCCTTCTGGGCATCTCTGCCGTTTTGTATCTAGTATAAATAGATTTTAAAGGTGTGGTTCACGTCCTCAATATTCACAACTAACTTACATCGATATAAATCGTGGACAGACCCGAAACTGGTTTGCGTGCATCAAATAAACTTGGTGCTAAAATAGTAGTGTTTCTATAACAAGAAATATATCTAGTCTTGGACCTGCGGCGAATCTATGATTAGAGCCTGGTCAGACAATGGTGATCGATTGGCATGGTTATCGGTGATATTTGTATGGTAAGCGTGTCAGTGCACTGGCGTAATGAGATATAGAGCTTGCTTTGTTTACATTCCTACTAATTCGTATATCTGATATGGAAATGATTCATAATTTAATAAGCCCAACTTCTATCAAGTGAATACTGATTCCACAAATATGACGATTGTGATACCGTTGGGTTTAATATTATTCTAATTTTTCAGTAGTTATAAAAATAAATTCGTTCATACATTTTAAATATAATATTTCATTACATGTTTGACCACATGGATCCCCTCTTTTGAAACAAGTATCTAATTGGTTTTACAGTTCCTGCTCATTACTTTTACAACAATATTAGATTTAATGAACCTATCTGGTTGCAGCCTCAAGATTTTAAAAATTTCTCATTTCTTAGAAATTCTTCAGCTGCTCGGAATATTTATTTATTAATATCTCAAACAGTCATGATGAGATGAATTTACAAAGCTTATAAATAAATTTATTTTAACCTACTATTTGAGAATAGTTGTAAACTAGACATATTTAACTTTTCTATAATTGTTTCTTATTTTACTTGCTCTCTTGGAGCAAGTAAGGTTATCTATCCGAAAATATTTTTGAGAAAAATTCTATCAATATTACACTATTCTCATATGAATTGTAAAGGTGTGTTTAGACATTTCCCAAAATATAGGAAACAGAAATATTTAAATGATTCTTTCTCTATGTTAATGCTTTTGTTTCTTGTTTTTAATGTTTTTCATCCTCTGTCGGAAAGAACAACAAGAGAAAGAAAAAAAAAGGTTGGATTAGTGCTAATGTCGCTGTCAGTTAACAACATTATAAATAAAATGTCAGGACTAATCAAGTTCAATATATGGATAATATTAAAAGAATGAGGTCTCTTTCCCCTCACATTGAGTGAACAAGGAGAAACAAATTAGGGAAATTCTTTTACTATATGAAGAGATTTTAGAAATTGTGCGCCTAATTTCTAACATTGATGTAGTATTCCCAATTCGACTAGTTCACTCATTATTGGAAAAAGGGAAATAAATCTAGGATTGGAAATGCCTGTGTTGGTAGTTGCGTATCTGTGAATGGAAATGGAAACAAAGGTTTGATTAAAGCGGTGGTTTCAATTTCAACAATTCTTCCAATAATTATTTTTTTTTTTAAATTTTCTATTTTTTAAATTTATTTATTGAGTATTACAACAATCTGTCACATGGACACTAGTTATAGTGAGGTAGGATAACATTTACACTATATGTACAAACAATATAAAATAAATAGAAGCAAAATAATAATCAAAAAGTAAATAATAATCCAAAAGTTAAATCAAAAAGGAAAATTTACAATAATGTAATAATGCAATTGTTTTTTTAAGTCCCTCGTGGAGAACGCCCGGTATTCGAAAGATCTTAATAATATAAAATCATTTTAAAACATGATGTTGAGATGGTTGACCGTGATATAATATGAGAAGTTGGACGAGGGGTGCGGTCAAATAAATACTAAATTCTTAAAATATATTTTATTAGTTACGGCAAAGGTATAACTAGTGTTGGCCAAAATCGGTCTTGGTCTTGCATTTTGCAAGATCAAGACCAAGGCCGCTTAACTGTTGCCAGACCAAGACCAGGACTGGTAAAAAAAAAAAAGATTTTTTAAAATAGAAATAGTTACTAATATTCGACAATTTTAGTTACTATATGTTAATAATTGGCTTAACCAATATACTTCTGCATTTAACTCCTCTAATTACTCATTCGGGCTTAATTAGCTTTCTTCTATCTAAAAAAATACAGTAATATCTCTATAGTAATAAGCTAATAGTAACTGCAAGACTGTTGCGAGACTCTTGCGCAAGACCAAGACCATGACCATGACTGAGTTTGCAAGACCAAGACTCGTCTCGGTCTCGCATTTGGGCAACACTAGGCATAACGAATAAAATACTATTTTAACAATTTAGCATTTATTTGACCGCACCTTCCGACCAACTCCTTCTCATTTTAAAACATGATGAGGTTTATAATCTCGTCTGCAATAAAAAACGTATCGACTTAGGGAATTAAACAATTAATACGGTACTTTTTTTTCATGTTTGAGGCAATTCTTTTAGGCAATACACTTACAATTATTAGAAGTTTTCTTTTCATAAGTTAATGGGCATTTGGGTGGCTAAGTAGACCAACGCGTGTGCAAAACACGCGTTGCCCGCCAACCCGATTAACTGAATCTTCAGTGTAATCCTAACCTATTATCTAATAGGTTTAATAATAATCACATGTGGATCTACTGAAGGGCGGTGGGCTTTCGGGCTGAAGCTTCCCAAAATGGTAAAATATTACCATGTCTTACAGTAGTGGATCGAGGATTCAATTTTTTTTTTGGACTTTTTTATTCATATATGTATATTAAGAGATAGTTTTTAATACTTTTTTTCTTTAAAAAATGCTTATATTTTACCATTTTGGAGGGGAAGGGGGCTTCATCCTGAAAGCCTCCCTCCCTCCATAGATCCGCCTGTGATGTCTTATGAAAAAATTATGTCTAAAAGTATTATTGTTCGTGTAATTACATTTAATATGACTCCAAGAATCATTTAAACACCATTTCGTTTACGTACTTAGTTTCTTTCTTTTTCTTCCAAAGTAATTGTCATTATATTAAAAAAAAAAAAGCTATCGGGTTGAAGCATTCCCAAAATGAAATCCTGGATCCGCTAGTGATAATAATTACGAGTTCGCGTCCCGGCTCTGGGGAGAGAGGAAGGGCTTTTAATCCTCAAACCCTGACATTAATCCCAAGACCTCTCCTCTGGCCGGAGAAAACCTCGTATAGCCTAAAAGGGGAGGAAGGGGAGGAGAGAGAAAAAAGTTAATGGGCATTTAATGTATATACTTATTAAATATCTCTTAGAATCTATTATCCATAATACTGATCTAGAAATTAAAGTATACTACTGAGATTCGTATACACATGAGATTGACATTATTCTTGCATTATGAATTGTCATAATAAATTAAAGTGTGGTTTCGTTGTTTTAGAACTAATATTTATTAACTTATAATAATAAAAATAATATTCCATGTATTATATATTGATGTATTATCACTGTATTATATATATTATATATTGATAAAAGCCTGAACTTTGGGCCGAAACGTCGACAAAAATAAAAATACATATAATTATTTATTTTTACTGATCACCCCAACCATTCTTCTCTTCTATTGTGTCTTAAAAGTATAGTAATAACAGTCTACTGAACGAAACTATTAGAAAAAAAATACATACATATATTTAGATGTATGTATATGTATATATATATATATATATATATATATATATATATATATATATATATATATATATAGGAGGGGGAACTAGGGAATACCCCCTCCATGAGCCCTGGATGTTAGGGAAAAGCCACCCCCCTTACAGGGACCTTCAGCGGCGTTAGGTTGGCAATACTCACCCCAAGTCTTCAGTGCCTCACAGACTGTGTTAACTATTGGTTCGTTGTGCCTCATTCGTGTCCAAACAGCTTAAGGAATGTCCGCCGGCAGCAATATTAGGTGCGTAGCCACAATTACTTATTACTTATATTGTATTACTTCACTACTTAGTATACCTTCATATGATGTAATTTCATGTTTCAATCTATAGGCTAACATTGAACTTCTACTGTGGAGTGTTTATTTATTTGAATTGTTTGTTGATATGTGTAAATAATTTGTTCAGTCTTTATTTTAATATTATGTCATTGTTTATTGACAGTAACATATAATTCTTCTCCGAAAGCTGTTGAATACATGAACACTTTTAAATTAAATAAAAAATGAACTTGTTTTTCTGATTTCTTCCATCCAATTGTGTTATTATTATTGAACAAGTTATATATACTTTTTTTTGTTTTGTTAATGACCTAGTATATTTTTTGAGTTGCTCCAGTAAACAACTTTTGCATACTTTTTCTTTATTATGTGTTTGACGGAAAAAGGTTTATGAAATTTGAGATAAAAGAAGAAGAAAACCTCAGAATTAACCATAATCGCTTTATATTAAAAAAATTAAGATAAAGAGGAAAAAGTTTCCCATAAAGCTCCTTAATAACGGAGTCTCTCTTAATCTTTACCACTGGTTTCTACAATATAAAATTTATACTTCCCTGGAATTATTACGGTATTTAGTAACATATTGTCGCTTATTTATCACCCAAAACGTTCTTATACAAGAAAGTGGAAAAGAAAAATCATACCTAATTATCGCTAGTATGTTTATATTTCAATATATACCTCTAATTACTTTATGATGCATTAAACTTCTAAATTATTAATTAGTCGTAAATAAATTTTGTATTTTCCATAGTTAGGTTTATATCTAATAAAATTAGTGTTTTGATGTACTGAAACTGTGGAGTGGTTGAATGAAATGTTAAAACTGTTGAGAATATATTTTTACTGGTTTTGAACTTTAAAAGAAAATGCAAAATTATATTTAAAGCGTTAAAAGTAAAATCTATACCATAATTGATTTTAATTTAATTGAATTGCAAATAAGGCATTTTATTATTCATAAATTCTCAGAAAGGTTCCCTTTAATATACTCTCGAAATATATATTCTATTGCCAAAGGTTTTCTGGAGCTAGTCCTTTGTTATGAAATATAGTCACATTTATAATCTAATATAATTATTATCATAATTGTTATATACTAATCATTAATGTTGTTATATTATATATGTATCGATATTTTTATATTTATTAATATGTACTAGATAACGATTAATTGAATTAATAAATCCTCCCGATTTCGATTTATGTGTAATCCAAACTTTTTTTTTAAATGTTAGATACCTTAAACAATCTTAGTATTTAGTATTTTTTATAATGGATCAGAGAATTTAACCAACTTGGCTGCAACTATACATTTACAGGAAACTAATGCTGTGTTCTTACGTTTATATCTCCTTGATGATGAACGTTTTGAACTGTTTACGGTTATCTATAACTACAACTTTTACAAAAAAATGAAGTTCTTTTTCTGTTTAACACAATAATATTTTTATTTTCCATTATGTTGTGATGTAACCACACCTGAGTGAGCATTTGTTTATGTTATGTTTCCTTTCCTATTGCTAGAAACTATTTCAAGTGTTATTTATTATTTTGCCGATATACATAATTTTTTAATGTTGCAAAGGTAATGTATTATTACAAGAGGAACAATTAAAGATATTCTAAATTATTTGCAGTAGTAACTCAAGCTCAACAATAACAGGACAAATAAAGTAATTAGTTTTTACTCATTTTGCTTTTGATAGCTTAACAAAGCGATACTTCCTTATTAATAAATTATCGTATATTACGATTATTGCGATATTAATGACAAACCATGAGAAATGTTCAGCTATGTTAGAGAAACTAATATTCCCATGAAAAAATACAACGTGGCTTGCTTGTAAAAACCATTAAAATATCATGTTAAAACAGATTGAGATATGAATGTTGACTGCGCTGTACTGAATTTTTGTTTGACTATCATTCTGAATTCCTGACATTTTCTTCTGCAATACCGTGTGTGTTTGAAAACTGCCAAATATAGATTACAAGACACTTCATGATATTACAATACAATTAAAATTATTACAATGTAATTAATAATTAATTAAGATGACTAGGCCAATTCAATGCCTTTTTTTCAGCTGGCAGAAGTCATTCATATTAAAAAAGAAATTCACAATATTGGGTTGATAGTTGACTGTAGTGAATAATTGAAGAGAAGTTGGTTGGGTGTCCAAAAAAAAAAAAAAAAAAAAATCACATCAACCAGAATAAATTGTAATTAAGTATATTAAGAATATTCTACAAGGTTTTTTATCTTGTGTATTTTAGAACCTCCAAAGTGAACGGAAACGTAAGCTTCAATAAACTATTTTCACAATTTAAAGTTATTTTTTGACCGCTACTCTGGTAGCGACGTGCTCTCTTATTACATACACAGTTAGTTATTGTACCATGTGTAATACAAACGAAACAGAAGATCTCTATCACTTCCTGGCTGCTTGTCTGGTACTCTCTGAATTTAGAATTAAATGGTTAAAATCTAGAAATTTATCTCGGGATCAAGTAATAGATTTGTTAAATGGAAACAATTGGGTAGCATTGATAAATATAATATTATATTTACATTCTAAATATAATTGTTCTTATTTTCTTATTAATTAGTTGGGTATAAATAGATTGAAATATTATTTTGTTATAAAACATAGATTCCTCTGATGGTCAACAGACCATGTAGCACGTCTGATTTTCGGTTTTAAATCTAAAAAGATTTTGTATTTAAAAAAAAAATTATATTATGTAATTTTGATAAATAAAAAGACTTTTTCTTCTTCTTCTTCTTCTTCAGTTAGTGATTACACATCTAAAATTAGTAATTCGTGATTATAAGTTAATTAATTAAATCCATTATTGAGGAAATAAATAATTCGTGGATGTTGAGAAAAAAAATCACAATATGGTAAAGAGCTTGAAAAGGTTTATAAATGTACTTGAAATCAGTTAAGAAATTGCCAAACAGCTGGTAATGTTTAATTTTAGTATTAAGTGTTCGTTATTACATAGTTTCTGATGTGTTTTAATAACAAGGAAGGCGATGATTCGGGGTGGTGGTCATAAAAAAACTTAAAAATAGTGAACACTAATTTATTTAATTTTTCACAATTTTAACTTTTTTTTTTATGTCCGCCACCCCTAATCATCACCTTCCTCAATATTATACCACGGTCAACCATTGAGTATCAACTATTTTAATATTAGAAATTATGTAAAATATAATATATGTGTACTTACATAGTCTTAAATTCGCATCTTCTAAAACGATCCTCTAGTTAAAGTAATATATCTGAGGGCTCGCTTTGACGATATTATTGCCAAAAAATAAGAAAGAAAATACTACTTTTGTTCTATTTTTGAAGACATTCACCTGCAGCCACTGGGACTGCATCAGACAGACCTCAGCAGTCTTGTCAAATCAATATCAGCTCGTACTTCGGTAACTGTTTAGTCCGACTCTTTTTAAATTGCAGTGGGATAAATTTGTATATTCGGTGATCCAGTCGCATACCTTAACCATTTGAGATCCGGTGCGGATATCTTTTTAAGATTCTTAATAAAAAGAAATGAATAAAGCAGAAAGAACTATTTATGGTAGGATAGCCAGCAGTTAGCACCTAAGTTCGCATCCAACAAACTTGAAAAAGTCTTAGCTTAATTCGTTGGTTTTATTTAATGCATCTTCTAGTATTATACTTCGTTTAATTAGATAGATAGGAACAATATTCTAAATCCTTATTGTTTTACTTGTGAACTACCAATTTACGAACATTTACGACCATAAACCAATCATTATTTTTTAAATAATAATCATAAAATGAGTGTCTTCATTTATTAATTTCAAAACTATTACTTTCGATAAAGAAATATCTGGCGATCAAACTGGCTCAATCCATTTTTTTTTTTACAAAATGCCTTTAATTTTTATGTCCGTTCACAGATTTCTATAGATGGAGAGATTTAAATATAGAAGATTCTCGAGAGAATTGAGAATTGATTAAAGTAATTTTATGTCTGATTCATTGAAAATATAGCAATCGTGAAAATTTTCGAATCTGAGTTTTCAATGGAAATACACGTTTTGTGGTACCCTGAATCCAAATAACCAAGTCCCAAAAAATGGCCTGTGTGTATGTGAACATTCTAGTTCGAAAACGAAAAGTCGTACGAAACTGATATTGCATATTTAAGATAGGTATATGCCTTAGATGTCAGAGCAACTTTTTCATTAAAATCGGCTAACCGGAAGTGCCCATTAACTTCTCTTACTAAAAGTATCTTCAGCCTCTACCATTATTAATCGGTAACTGTTGGCTGACGGTGTATTGTAAATCCAGGGTATGCGTGCTGGGGATGAGACATGTACATGCTGTGAATGGAGATCCTGCGATTATCTTCATTGCTTTTCAACTTTGGTTAGGAATAGGTTGAAACATCAGCGCAATTAACAAAAATTAATATGCAAAGCTAGTGTTCATATATGTATATAAATGAAATAGTATGTATATAAAAAGACTAAGGAAGTACCCCGTTCCCGCCTAACGGCGAACCAGCCACCATTTTACAAATTATACAACTGCTCATTTAATTGCAAAACATTGTTAACAGTAATTTATATGCAATCTGAAGTTCAGAATTAATTATTTTTTATCAACATAAAATAAACGGAACGAAACAACAGTTCGGACAAATTTTTAATGTCTTTAAAATCTGTGTTATATATCGCGTCTAATTGCCAATTCATATTATCTTATGATGATAATTATTCTTATTGAGAATTCGAATACACAATAAGTAAGAGAGGAATAATTATGGGAATAAGAGGTGTGGTGTCTTCGTTACGGTCCGTCCATCTGGTATCTTCGTTAAAATAAAGAGAAATATTTATATCATTTATACCCTTGGGTAAGCAAAGGTCAAGCAATAATGTATATATACATTCATAGATGTATGTTGTA